TAGTTCTGGATAAAAAAATATCACTCTATATGTGTACGCAATGATGAACTATTGCTAACGATAATCATTAGCATAGATTAAATATGCATGATGGTATTATTAGTAATATTTTTTAAATTGTTGTTAAGATAACCCAGAAATCAATACAATTTATAAAAACAATACCTAAAGTTTTTTCTAATTATTAAGAAAATTACAAAAAAATATCAAAAAATTAACTTCACAATGCACCAAATAAAAAATGTAAGTAGAAAAAGTAAAAGTGCTCATAATAAAACCAATTCATAATCAAGATTTTAAAATATATATTGGTATACGAGTTTTATTTTTTTGCTCTCATTCAAGAAATTTGATTTCAAATACTCATATTCAGGTCTGTGATGACCCATCGGGATATTTATTGGTAAATCCCCGTGGACTAGTATATATAGCCTTACACAACCACAGTTTTTCCGCACGTATTACCAACGAGCTACCCGGACGCTCGTTTTCGTGTACCTACAGGCTGCAATATTAATATTTGGAAAATGTAATTTTTATTTCGTTTAATATTGTACGAAAAACTCACTATAAATATCGATTTTCTATTACCTATATACGTGATTTACAGAATCGGCGAACAGAATCTGTACTCTTTTTGGAATGTTGACCGAAACCAATTAAAATAAGATGTTTAGTACATCTGACCACACTTTTAACTCTAGACTACGAATCGAATATCAAATAATAATGGTGCTGTCAATATTTTCACAGACTAGTTATAATATTATAATAGTCGTTTCTAATAAATTCTGAATATAGTGAGGAATGTATGGTTATATTATGATTTTTTTTTTTTTTTGTGTCTGTGAACAACTCGATTACCATAAATCTTGCTCCGGACAAAAATTGACTAGAGGCGTCATTTTTGGTTTTATTATGGATTTAGTTAGTACATTTATGAGGTTATTATTTGATTTTCTTTATAGTTTGCTTAAGAATTTAGAAAAAAGGTAGGAATAACGGAAAGTTTACGACATAAGCGATTTCATTATTTTTGATTTTGTTTTTTTGTTAAAATTTGGTTGAAAATATCTACTTTTATAAACATTTTCTAAACATAGTAAAATTTGTAAAAGATTTCTGATGATTTTCAACTATATTCAAAAGTATTCATAACATTTTCGAGTTTTTAGTTTTTATATGGTTAAATGTGAGTACAATTATTATTTTATAAATACGAACATTTACAAAATTCAGATAATTCACATAATTATAAAAAAAATACCAACAATTTACTTCAGTCCTGGACCCAATATATAATTTCTGTAGGTCATTTTATCGTATACTGCAAATTTTGAAGAATATAGAGCAGTCAAATTAAATCACGTGCATTTAATATTACCAACATTGTTAACACATAAAATATAATTTAATAGTCATAACCATATAAATACCCAATAATTACAAATAAATTATATTCTGCGGGCACTAGGTATACACATTATGCATAGCACATATTTTAAAAATACACACGAAAATCTTATCCTTCCCCAAATTTCACGTCATTTATCGTTTACTTTTTTATTTTTTGTTCTTCATTCAAACTGGCACGCGTCAGTCAACACGCCATAAACAATTTATATAACTAATGGATTCGTTTTAGAGTTTAAAAACTAATATAGAAATAAAACAATCAGAAAAAAAACGTCAGGGTGGTTTTAAAAATTTAATTTCGCGTACATGTTATATAATATACGCTTACTGTTTCCCTGTGCTTGTGAGTGTAACTATAAAGTCACGTCTGTATATGCAGACATATCCATTGTATACATGTACATGAACTTATGCTATTTTAACGCGAACTTATCGAGTATGAGATCGTTAATCGAACTAAAAAAATTTTAAAAATCCACTTAAGTCATAACTTCAGTGAAACAATCAAACTATAGAACAAATAAAAATTTTGGATGGAAAATAAGAAAGGGTACACATACTCTCATTACCAAATCCTTTTCAACAATATAATATCATAAAAGTTAATGAAATGTGTTTAGGTACATTAGGTTCATCATGTTTAAAATGTGTAAAATGCAATATTTGCATTCATACTTACCATTGTCCTTGTATTGATAATATCATCAAAGCAAATGTTTATAAGCATGAACATGCTTGTGCTCGTAATTTTCATAAATATTTGGATGACAGTAATATTTTTCATGAAGAAACAAATCTTGAAGAACAGACAATTTTAATTGATGTGAATGCAGCAGCTATACAAATGTAAATTAATCAGTGGTAGCTTGTGTAGGGGTGACCGGGCCCCACTCCCTACTCAAATTATAACAAATTACTTATTAATAAACTAGATATTAATTTAAATATTAACAAATATTTATATTTACCACGTAATACGTTTTCATAATCCAATTATTATCCAATGTAAATAATATAGTTTTTAATTATTATGAAAACAGAATTTGGAGTTCATAGATATAAATTGGTAAATACATTTATTTTATGTTTTTCAAAAATGAATTTTTTTTAAACGCCCTCCTATTTTCAAAGCCCACGAGCCACCACTGAAGGTAATTCTATTTTCAATTTAGGTTTATAAAAACATATCTGTCCGAACTTCGTTCAAAATCGTTTTTTGATAGCAATGATTTATCGTTACGTAAATAAGTACACGCGTATATTCGTAAATAAATTAAATAACTTTATTTATCCGTGACCTTCTCAACTCTTTCAACCTTCCCCTTTCAACAATGGCATACCAATTGCGTGAGTTATACATATATTACATGTATACAGAGTGTTCCAAAATGATCTGCCACTTGAAATAACTTTTGTCCTATTTAAAATTTTTAATACATATTTTTTTTTAAATAATTAGTATACCTCTACACTACAGTTTATATGTGAACATTTTTTTTTTTTTAGAGGGAGGGGACTTAAATTTAAAATTGTATACTATGATTTTTTTAAAAAAATTCGAAATAGATTTTTAGAAAATTTTTGGTGGTTGAAACTTTTATTAAAGTATGGTCTTTTATTTTCTACAATTTTTTGAAGTTTTTACAAATGTGATTATTACCAGTTATGGTTATTCTATTACAATATTTAATCAGTTATTAGTCCAAGACATATGACATAGACCTACAGCAGAGACGATAAAATTACTCGGAGTGCTTCCTACGCTTTTGCTTCCGGTCTGTAAATGATTTTTCGACCAGTAAACTCGCTTTGTCGAGGAGGTCGTGTTTTAGATTTTCCTCTTACTTTAATTTTCTAACACAAAATCATTTTTAACCCAAAGTTTTCACCGAATCCGACTCGGCTCCAAATCATTTTTCAGTATGTAATTCGGTTCACCAAAGGTATTCAAGTACTCAATTGGTGACCTAACGGCTACCATGATGTCCTACTTTTCAATAAACTTCACACCTACAACAACAATAGTGTAACTGTGTAGGCTCATATTCTATACCTCAGTTATTGTCAGCTATTTTAAGAAGCTAATAGTTTTACTAAGAGGCTTGTTATTTTTGTTTTGTAAAACATTTTTTTGAACGAATCTTTAATCGAATATATCGACATTTTCAACAGTTCACACCTAGGTCATTCTTTGCTTTCTTTTTCCGTTTAGTGCCTAAGGATGCACGACCAAATTATTCACATCGTATCTTAAAAGATGCGAATTCTCACCCGATATTAATCTGATAAAAAAAAAAAAAATTATCAAAAGTTTCAATGACATATATAAAAAGCTAATAACAATTAATGTCGGATACATCGATTGAGTATTTTTTTTCTTCTTCGACTACGGGGTGATTTGCAAAACCACGAATACTAATAAAACTCCGTTCGAACCGTTATAGAGAGTAATTTAATGTATATCTGTGTGCAGTGATTAACTGTTGCAAACGAAAAACGATTCTGAGCGAAGTGTGGTTAATAGTAAATAGTGATGCTTTTTCAACAATATGGAATTTGTCATATGGCAAAATAATTACTTATGCATTAAATTTTTTCTTTAATAATATTTGTTTAAGATTGTACCTATTTTACATCAATATGACAGTTCGATGTGCTACAAATAATGTTTTGAACATTTTACCACGTCCAGAAAAGGCAAATATAATTTTTCTGTCCAAACTTCAAGTCGCTTCGTTCTAAATCTAAAAATATGTATACATTTAGAATAAGTGTTTGAATATTTTACAACATTGCCGTATAAAATACGAGTATATACGAGATAATTATAACCATCACACGGGAAATCAAAAATCAAAACTTTTCGTCTCGTTGGGATCGAGTGTAGATATGACACGAAATGAAAAATAATTTCCGAGCTATAAAAAAAAAAAGTAAATAAATAATTCTCGATTTTTTAATAACCTGCAGTAGGCCGAAATAATANTGTAATAATAACAATATCAGCCGTTATGCAACGGTTACCATGGGAAGGAAAATGTAAACGCGATACTCGACCGATGGAAATCGTATTCAAAATAGTCTCATTCGCTAACAGACCGGCATGACTATCAACGATAATAATTTTTTTTTTTCTCTATTCATCGAACTTTAATATTTTATTCGAACAATTATTTTAAACGTAATCTGTAATGTTATGTGTGAAGTATTCTTGAATGTTTCAACGCAAAAGCATTATTATTATACGACCAGTGGCGTAGGTTTAATGATTTGTTCGTGTTTAATGTTTCAGGTAGTTACTGCGCAGATTTTCAACAAGACTGCGCCCGTCTTGACTGCCATCCAATGTCCAAAGCAAAGCGACGCCGACTCGGAGGACCCGGTTTCAACCCGTGCGCATTGCACATGCCATCGGGCGCGTCCCCGCGACTGTGGATAGGGGAATGCCCTGCAGATATGTAGGGTAGCCGCGATATACGCCCGTGACCTAAGGATTGGGATTGGACGGAATAAGCGGTCGCGAACAAGTGCACCTGGCAGTAGGTATAAAATGCAGGCTAGAATTTGCCTAAAAAAATCACAACATGAAGTACAACAAAACAGAAATAAACGTTACTGTGTCAGAGGCCTCGGAAACCTCAGAGCCGGCGGCTGGGGGACGGTGCTCGCCCCAGGTGTCGTCATCNCTCGCATGCACCACCAAAGGTGCAGAAGTGCCAAAGCGGGCTTCTGCCGCCAACCACCGTGTTGGAAATACTACTGCTAACCACGAAATTAGTACGATATCGATCGACGCGATATCGTGCTACGAGCGTTTGTACGGCTTGTCTGTACAGAAAATTGTAGACGTCGGAAAAGTCCTGGATTATTTGATGTTCATGATTTTCAAACTGCAGATGGGACAGGTAATATTGTCGTTATTCGTTGTGTCTCAGAGATAGTGAAACCATAATTTTGTAATACGAATAATAAAAATTGATAATTATTTTCTAGTCAATGTATACTCATACATTAAATCATTTATCGGCCGAATTGTATAGTTTGAACGAAACAAAAGACATGACTATTGCGGGCCAACTTTTTATCGGACTTATTAAAAGCGGCCTCGTCTTGTAAATGATTTTTTAAAAATTATTAATTTATTTTATTTCATAAAAAACTAAATCAAATATATTCTTGTGTTTTTTTTTTTTTTTTTTAGAAATGATCAAGATTATTGGGAACCCGCTATAGAACAAATTTTACGTATTCTGGAAAACAAAAGTTCAAAATCGAGATCGTTTATTTTAATTTCAAATTTTGTGGAAGAATTGAAACGTGACATCGGAACACGTTTACAATACGAAAGCATAAATCAGGTATGATAAACAAATTAATACCTATGTTACTATTGTTTATCTACCTATATTATGTTATTATATGTGTATTTTCAGGCATTG